TTCCCTGGCGACCGTTTCCCGGGCGACTCCAGGTGGAGCGGGGACACTGCACGTGGCGATGGGCCGCCTCTGGCCCCTTGCCGGAGACGGATCGTGCTCCGTCTCGCGTTCTGGGACGAAGCTTTGGGGAGTCATTAGGGCGAGCAGGGAAGTGCCAGGGAGAGGCTCAGAAAAGAGCAGATGGGGAGCTGAGAGATGTCCCAGGCTGAATCGCATATTGTAAGGTCTGGATTCCCTGCGCCAGGGAAGAGGAACCTGGCTACAAGGACGTTAGGGGTCGTCTTGTCGGATTCTGCTGCCCGGAACCTCACAAGCTTTACGTCCAGGGGTTATTTGGTTGGGCTTTTTAAAGTCACAGGCCTCCTCCAGTCCTTTGATCTCTATGTTGACCTAAATAACAAGCCTTTTGTTACATCATGGAAAAGGAGTTTTCCGTGTTTTCTCAGGGAAATTCCTGGCGTAGGAAATCTTGATTTTATTAGGTATGTGATGTCACTGTGAGAGAATGAGCCCAGCTTTGGTTCAGGGAGATCATCAGAGTTGTCATTAGCAGGGCCAGGACTAAGGCTAATCTGGGTCGACCATGCCCTCCTCACTTTTCCCTTCTCTCTCCCTGAATTGGATAGTTATAGATTCATAGACCGTGGCTTCCTTAAGTTACTCAAGGTGGTGTTCTTTTACAGACAGCTGGCAGAGAGAGAAGTTGGCTGCCACCATGGAATCACCAGAGGAACCTGGAGCATCCATGGACGAGAACTACTTTGTGAACTACACTTTCAAAGATAGGTCACACTCCGGCCGTGTGGCTCAGGGCATCATGAAACTGTGTTTGGAGGAAGAGCTCTTTGCTGATGTCACCATCTCCGTGGAAGGCCGGGAGTTTCAGCTCCACCGATTGGTCCTCTCGGCTCAGAGCTGCTTCTTCCGGTCCATGTTCACTTCCAACCTGAAGGAGGCCCACAACCGGGTGATTGTGCTGCAGGATGTCAGCGAGTCTGTCTTCCAGCTCCTGGTGGATTATATCTACCACGGCACGGTGAAGCTCCGAGCTGAGGAGCTGCAGGAGATTTATGAGGTGTCAGACATGTATCAGCTGACATCTCTCTTTGAGGAATGTTCTCGGTTTCTGGCCCGCACAGTGCAGGTGGGCACCTGCCTTCAGGTGATGTGGCTGGCGGATCGACACAGCGATCCTGAGCTGTACACCGCTGCCAAGCACTGTGCCAAGGCCCACCTGGCCCAGCTGCAGAGCACAGAGGAATTTCTTCACTTGCCGCACCACCTACTCACTGACATCATCTCCGGTAAGCAGAGGGAGGGGGGACGTCATACCCAGCCGCACGGGTGTTCAGTGAGACAGGGGACCCTCAGGCTCCTGGCGTTAGTTTACATTATTATTCTTGATAAGAATTTACTTAGATACCTTCTAAGAGAGATTGAGTTGACATTTAGTAGTTCATGTTAGAGACAGAGTCTCTTCCAGAGGAAGAGATTAGGAAACTAAAGCAGCATTTTTACATTATATTCAAATATCTAATTAAAAAAAAAAAGTCTGCACTTAGCCACAAAAGGTAGTGAGGAGCTACCTGCATTTATATTCTAACCTCTCTTGTGCATTAGTGTTCTTATCCATTCTATACTTTGCATGTATTTGTGGGACTGGTTACCTGAGTAAATTGACAGTGAGTCAAGATAGTTAGGGGCAGCATTGAAACATGTATATTATCTAGGGTGAAACAGATCACCAGCCCAGGTTGGGTGCATGAGACAAGTGCTCGGGCCTGGTGCGCTGGGAAGACCCAGAGGAATCGGGTGGAGAGGGAGGTGGGAGGGGGGACCGGGATGGGGAATACATGTAAATCCATGGCTAATTCATTTCAATGTATGACAAAAACCACTGCAATGATGTAAAGTAATTAGCCTCCAACTAATAAAAATAAATGGAAAAAAAAAGAAAAAAAAAAAGATAGGGGCTTCTCAGGGTTTTTTTAAAAAAAAAACCCACCTACCAATGCAGGAGACAGAAGAGACATTGATTTGATCCATGGGTTGGGAAGATCCCCTGAAGTATGAAATGGCAACCCATTCCAGTATTCTTGCCTGGAAAATCCCATGGACAGAGGAGCCTGGCGGGCTACAGTCCATAGGGTTGCAAAGAGTCAGACACCTAAATAAGAAGCTTCTCAAGTGACTGGCCAACTTTTAGGTAACAATCCTAACCCTGCAGGTGAGGTATAACTGTACTTCAAGTGTGAGCATTGTAGCCTAGTAGATTGCTTCCATGGCAAATAGGAGAATATCAAGTCATCCATTTTGATTAAGACAAAAAGCAGGGCAATTTTAGGTTAATTTCCCATACACACACATACATACATACATGGTGACAGTCTAACAAAGAGATTCACATTTTTAAAGCCACTGGCTTTAAATTTCCCTTGTGGATCCTCAGACTGCCATTGACCATACCTTTCCTCTGACTCTTGCAGATGGAGTTCCATGTTCCCAGAACCCAACAGAGGCCATAGAAGCCTGGATCAATTTTAATAAAGAAGAAAGAGAGGCTTTTTCAGAGTCACTCAGGACTAGCTTGAAGGTAAGGCAGATTTCTTTAGGGTTGGGACACCATACTCTCCCTGCATTCCAGCCGTCTGTCAGCTTGGCCTCTTTGAGTCTCTGGCTTAAAGTTGATAAGAGCTGGGGTGGAGGTTACATATGTGAGCCTAGAAGCCAGCAACCTCCGGCTCCCTCCAAAGCTCCTTGAGAGAACTACTTTCATCATTGCATTAATGACCAAAGCACCAACTCATCATAGTTATAAAAAAAGCTGGAAAGATGAGTGTAACAGGTTTTCTGTCCCAACATAAGGTGCCTGAAAGACAGTGATCAGAGGAGAGTCAGGGTGACACACCACAGTAACTGGAAGGGAACAGGTCAGAGCGAGACCCGAGGGTGTGGCCCGGGACCATCCGAGTACGCGTCTCAGCTGCGCCTTTAACCTCGAGCTGGTAGATACCATTTATAACTTTAATTTCGCCAATAGGAAATTGGGGAGAATGTACACATTTACCTGATCGGGAAAGAGTCATCTCGTACCCACTCGTTGGCTGTGTCCTTACACTGTGCGGAAGATGACTCCATCAGTGTAAGTGGCCAAAACAGCTTGTGCCACCAGATCACAGCAGCTTGCAAGCATGGCGGAGACTTGTACGTGGTGGGAGGGTCCATCCCCCGGCGCATGTGGAAGTGCAACAATGCCACCGTGGACTGGGAGTGGTGTGCGCCTCTGCCCCGAGACCGACTCCAGCACACCCTGGTGTCTGTGCCTGGGAAAGATGCCATATATTCCCTGGGTGGCAAGACACTGCAGGATACCCTCTCCAATGCAGTAATCTATTATCGGGTGGGTGATAACGTCTGGACTGAGACAACCCAGCTAGAGGTGGCTGTGTCAGGGGCCGCTGGTGCCAACCTCAACGGGATCATCTACTTACTGGGGGGGGAGGAGAATGACCTGGACTTCTTTACCAAACCATCCCGACTCATCCAGTGCTTTGACACAGAGACAGACAAGTGCCACGTGAAGCCCTACGTGCTGCCCTTCGCGGGCCGCATGCACGCGGCCGTGCATAAGGACCTGGTGTTCATCGTGGCCGAAGGGGACTCCCTGGTGTGCTACAATCCCCTGCTAGACAGCTTCACCCGGCTTTGCCTTCCCGAGGCCTGGAGCTCTGCCCCATCCCTCTGGAAGATCGCCAGCTGTAACGGGAGCATCTATGTGTTCCGGGACCGGTATAAAAAGGGGGATGCCAGCACCTACAAGCTTGACCCTGCCACCTCGGCTATAACTGTCACCAGAGGCGTTAAGGTGCTGCTGACCAATTTGCAGTTCGTGTTGGCCTAAGGCTGTTGGGGCAGGAGCAGCTGGCATTTGCCTGCCCTCCCTCCTGCACCTCCCCATCCGAACTCAGAATCCCCGGAGGCCCCCCACTCGGGTATTATGTTACTTTTTGATCCGTGTTAGAAAGGCAGCCTCAGCCCTTCCTTGAACTCCTAAATGAGTGTCTGTCTGGGGCTTTTTAGACTGCTGCTCCTCAGCTGGCTGCTAGAACTGAGAGTCAGCCAGTCTGCTTGCCATCCCCTTGTAATCTTGAGCCTCGCTCACTACAGATCCCTTAGAGCCAGCCTCTTCTCCACCCCTAGGCACAGCCTCCCCTCTCTACCTAATGAATGTTAAATAGGAGCACCCCTGATCCCAGGACAGAAGGAAAGATGCCCAGCCTCCCTTTTTTTCTGTAGCCTGCAAAGTGGCTCGTTGGTCATTCTCCCACAAAGAATTAGGTGTTATAGTTCTCCTTCAGGTGTTGCTTGGAAAAAATGGACTAAACTGAAGGTGTCCTTCACCAGCAAGAGTCTACCCTAGAATTCAGGATGTGCCGTCTATTATTTTTCATCTCTCCATCAGAAAATTTACACTTTGGTTTTATTTTTGGCTTATTCCAAGGAGTAAGCCAGAAAGAAGTAGAAAAGATTATTTCTGGTTAATAGCAGAAACTTTTTTCAAACTCAAATATATAAGGTCTCTACTCTTTTAAAAGCTCTAAGATAAATCAAGAGCTAGGAAACTGTTCATACAAATAAAAGTTTTTGAAGGGATATGTGTGTGTGTTGAATTCTAAAGGGGTGACTTCCTCAGGAGGACTGACTACATACCCACACATCTCTAAGTCGCAGTACTGATCGAGTCCCACGCGTCCTTGGCTACAGACAGGATGACTGCTCCAAACACGAGGACAGCCACGTAAGGCCAGTGGATTAGGATTTCAACAGTGGGGAAGAACCGGGGCTGGATACTTCTCTCCCCTTCTCCTAGTGTTCAACGTCTTTGAGTTACGGGGCTAAATATTAGGCACAACATCAGGTGCATAACAGGTTTCTTTGATCTTATAAGCCCTCAGCCCGATCCCATTTCCCCATGCCCCATGAATAGAAGCCACACTAAATCTAGCCACACAACAGTGTTATTTCAGGAAAATGAAACAAGACAAAGGGAGCAAAACTAACCATCACTTAGCACATTTCTATTATGTCAAGTCTGGGCTTCAGCCCCTTTGGTCCTGTTAAACATTCTCATTCTGTAGGAAGCAGCGTTGTTTTGCGTTCTTCCTAGCCCACGTGCGTCACGTCGGTGACGTGTGATGAGTCTCGTTCTTGGCCACCCCTGCAGTGGTCACCTTGTGGAACTCTTTGAGAACTTCCAGCTGGCCAGGTCTGATGTAGATGTGGGACCGGATCTTGGTGATGGCTCTTATGGCCTCCTCTGGAGTCCAGTGGTACACCTGAAGGGCAGGGTTGGGAAGTCAGAGAAAGGAAGGAGCAGGTATTAAGGGGTCCTTGACCTGATAACCGGTGCTTAAGGGCTCTCAGTATTTCTTTAAAAAAAACAACAACAAAAACCATGACCCACATGCTCTAAGTGGGAGAACACTGTAGCCCCCTCAGTCAGCCAGTCCCATAATTCTGTGCAGCAGGCTGGTGGGTTGAGGGGGACGCAAGTCAGTCTTTCTACCTAATTCTTATTCTGCCAAACCCTGGAAATAGGTTGAACACAGGAAGCTGAGGTCCTAAATTCACACAGGCCTAGGCCTACCAGATACCCTCTCTGAGCTAGGCTGTTGGTTACAAGAGTTTCCTGGGAAGAGTACACAATTGATGTCATAACTTGTCACCATGGCTAGAAAAAAGTACTTTATTTTTTTTTTTTAAGTACTTTTAAAATTTGACGAGGAGGGCTATCTTCATGCCCTCAAGATGCTTATTTGTTTAGAATTCAACCAAGAAATTCGGTTTTTAGTCTGCTGGTTCAATTCCCACTTGGCCCAAAATATTTCCTGACACCCCAGTTTCCAGCAAAACAGACTCCTAATGACCAAAACTTTAGTATTGTTAAATCATATATTCACCAGGCCACAGTAACACAAGGCCAGGCCATTTATCTTTAAAAGCATCCCTGCCACCAATCCTAACAAATTGATAGGCAAAATTCTGTTGGAGCCACTGTTTCTAGAGCTATGATCAGCACTGTTATCTACAGCACTATATTTCCTGACGTGCCATTTATAACAAATGTTTCTAGCCTTTTGCTTGTATTAACGTCCTTGGCAATTCCATTTTTTGAGTGCCTGCTCTAGGTCAGTGTTTGACATAGTTCTTATTTGAGTTTTGTAACACATTTAGTTTGAGGAAATTGAGCATTGGAGAGGGTAACCCACTTTTGCCTAAGGTCACCCAGGTGGCAGGTGGCAAAGCCAGAGGTCAGCCTGTCAGCAAATTTCACGTGTTTTCCACCTCCCAACGGCCTAAAATTGGGAACGCAGCTCCTTCTAGCCAGGTCCATCAGGAGATTGGAGATCTGCTGTACAGGGGACCAGTCCACTCCCTGGTGGCCCAGTGGCAAAGAATCCACCTTCCAATGTAGGCAGCGTGGACACACTCTCAGTTGGGGAACTAAGATCCTACGTGCTGCAGGGCAACTAAGCCCACCCCGCAACAAGAGAAGCTCACGAGCTACAATGCAGACCCAGCACAGCCAAAATCAGAGTAAAAAGAGGGACTTCCTTGGTGGTACAGTGGTTAAGAATCCACCTGACAGTGCTGGCGACATGGGTTTGATCCCTCATTCGGGAAGATTCCACGTGATGCAGAGCAACTAAGCCCAAGAGCCATAACTACTGAGCCTGCACTCTAGAGCCCAGGAGCCCTAGTGCCTGTGCATGCATGCTAAGTTGCTTCAGTCGTGTCTGACTCTGCGACCCCATGGACTGTAGCGCGCCAGGCTCCTCTGACCTGGGGTCAGACCATGGGGTTCTCCAGGCACTGGAGTGGGTTGCCATTCCATTCTCCATGGGATCTTCCCAACCCAGGGATCAAACCTAGGTCTCTTAATGTCTCCTGCTTTGGCAGCTGGGTTCTTTACCACTAGCACCAGCTGTGCAGCCCAAGCACAGCCTACAGGGCACAGCGCCTGCACTCTGTAATAAGAAAGAACCCGCCACTTATACCCCCCCCCAAAAAAAAAAATTAGAGTGATTATACCCCCCCCCAAAAAAAAAAGAAAGAAGCCGCCACAGTGAGAAACGTGTGCACCTCAATGAGGAGCAGTCCCCGCTCACAGCAACTAGAGAAAGCCTGCAGGCAGCAGCAAGGACCCAGTGCAACCACAAGATAAAAATTTAAAAATAATAAAAAAAATAAAAATCAGATTGCTTTTAGCAACAAGGGCGGGGTGGGGGGGGCACCAGTCCAGAAGGCCCCTTCCTACCTGAATCAGATACGCGGCCACCATGGTGGCGCTCCTGGAACGCCCGGCCTTACAGTGCACGTAGACAGACTGGCCTAGCGCCTGGTACTTGAGAGCAAACTGGACTCCCTTCTGGAGGTTGGACAGGGTGGGGACTCCTGTCATGTCTACCGTGCTGAGCCACAGCTGCTCCACTCCCTCTCGCCTCCACTCCTGGGGCCAGGTCCACCGGCACAGGAAAGAGAATGAAAAAAGCCGATGTGAGCGGTAGGAAGAGGGACTCCCACGAGGCAGCAAAGCAACAAGAAAGGGAATATATTTGGTATACTGTTTGCCTGCAAAGAAACTTCTTTCAGAAATGTCTTAAAATGACTGACTTACATGGTCTTTCATCAAACAACAACAATGCTTCTGAGTTAGAATTATGTCCAAGATTTAAAGTGTTCTTAGTATTTGAATCTTTAGTGACAATACGAACTGTATAAAATTCATCTACGAAAGCTGCGTAACAGTTTTTTGCATGACCGTGGCACTTGTGCAGTGAGCCAGCTGCAGGGTTCGACTACTACGTTTTGCAAGGCCTTCTATTTCTCTGCCCAGAAGTCTTCTTTTTTCTACCACTTTTTTGGAGAGGAGTATGTGGTAGAAAATAAGAGTTATTTTAAAATTAAAACAACGCACCTACTTTTGTTAGTGCAATATTATTGCCTAGAAGGAAGAAAAGAACCAACCGAAGAAATAAGGCCTCTGGCAAACTGGGCAACTTTTTTTTTTCTTTTGCCTTAAGACTTCAGGTAGACTTCTTGTTATTAATCTGTTTAGCAAATCAGAGACTCTGAATGAAGGTCAATATGTTATACAGTTCACGAAATTAACCAAAAACAGCAAAATCTGGCAGCGTGTGTTTACACATCAATTACATCAAACACTTGGGAAGCCTGCTATATATTCAAATTCTTGGGCCGTAATTTACAGTTCCTGAGTCAGAATCTCTGGGGGGTTGTACCTAGGAATGTGTTGTCTTAACAGACTGTCAGATAATGCTTCCCTGGGGCTTCCCTGGGGTTCAGACGGTAATGAATCTGCTGCAATACAGGAGTCAGTCAGTTCAGTTCAGTCATTCAGTCGTGTCCGACTGTTTGTGACCCCATGGACTGTAGTACGCCAGGCTTCCCTGTCCATCACCAACTCCCAGAGCTTGCTCAAACTTATGTCCATAGAGTCGGTGATGCCATCCAACCACCTCATCCTCTGTCGTCCCCTTCTCCTCCCACCTTCAATCTTTCCCAGCATCAGGATCTTTTCCAGTGAGTCAGTTCTCCGCATCAGGTGGCAATGCAGGATACCGGGGTTCAATCCCCCCAGTCAGGAAAATCCCCCAGAGAAGGGAACGGCAAACCACACCAGTCTGGCCTGGAGAATTCCATGGACAGAGGAGCCCGGTGGGCTATAGTCCACGGGATTGCAAAGAGTTGGGCATGACTGAGTGACTAACACCACTACTGCTAGATAATGCTTAGCCATATTAAAATATCAGAACCATTGCCTTGGAGATGTCTTTTCTCTAGGCTAGTGAGATAAGATAGCAGATCTAGATGCCTCACACCCAGAGACCAAGCACTTTCTGTGGTTTGCTCCACAAGACTGACCACACTGAGGCCAATAACACATTTTGGCTAATAACTCCTGAGGTTCTGCGGCAAAGTTCTGTGGGAAATCCAAGGAACTGCTATCTATTCTTTAAAAATCTATGCCATCACTGACCAATAGATTTTTTTTTTTGATCAATAGATTTTAAATGTGAGTCACAATTATTTTTTTAGATTAAAAAAAAAAATCTATGGTTTGAAATAACTGCATGTTCATTAGGCTCTATCAGTACAGTAAACAGGGAAGATAATTGTGCAGTGCTAATAGAAGTCAAACAGTATAAAGACAGGACAACACCTAATAACCATCATGAAGAGTTCCACAAAAAAACCACTCACATCTAATGAAAACTAGGTTTTAGGCTTGAACTTCATTTAAAAGACCATGCTTTGGAGTTCCACTATCACCTCTAACATATTTTGAAATTCTCTTAAATCAAAACCAAATGAATTCTATGCAGTTTTTACAAAGAGTTTTATGATACAGTTATCAGGGATTGGGGGTAGCTTTCCTTTTTACAGTTTATAGGGCCTTCGTCTTGAAGATCTTAACAGTGTCTGATCCATCCTTGGTGCTCATGAAGTGTTGAATGAATGAAAGCAAGCCAGAGAAAAGTTGCCTCTCAGGGCTTCCCTCACGGTCCAGTGGTTAGGACGCTGCCCTTCCAACTGCAGGGGTCTTAAGTTTGATCCCTGATTGAGGAATTAATACCCCACAGGCTGCGAGGCGCAGCCGAAAAAGAAACGTTGCCTTTCAGTTCTGGGTGCTGATGTGAGTTACCAAAACGGAGAATACACGTGTGCACAAGGAGTAATCGAAGTTGGGCAACTCTACTGTGAAATACCTTTCACATCAATTTCTAAATGACAAATTAGTTTCCATCCCGTCCAGCTGCAGGACCAGCTCCTCCGAGGCAAAAAAAAAAGAAAGCCTGGGACGCCCCAGTCTGGGGCAAGGTCACCTACAGCACAGCCTCCCCCCAGCCTCCTCCGGCTCGCCCAGACCGCGGAGTGGGTATAGGGTGGCGGGCGGGGCGCCGGGCCCCGAGGCCTCACCTTGGAGGAGTTGCACAGGAACCTCGTCTCATACTCCTCGTTCATGGTGATCACCCCGCGCACGTTCTCGTCCTGGACCAGCTGCCGAGGCAAAGAGGTGGCTCAGACAGGGGCGGGCGGCCGAGGCCCGGGCGGCGCTCGCCAGGCGCGCAGGCCCCGCCGCGGCCCGGCCCGGCCCCGCCCGGCCCTGCTCACCCGGCGCGTCATGCTCCGCAGCGGCAGCGCGCCCAGCAGCACGGTGGAGTCAATGCGGTGGTACCAGTCGCGGTGCGCCCGGCCGGGCATCTTCCCGCG